CTAACTTACTCTCTCTCTCTCTCTCTCTCTCTCTCTCTCTCTCTCTCTCTCTCGCTATCGCTTCCTCCCCCTAAAACTCACGTCTTCTAGATCAAACTACTCTCCTTAAAACTCATATCTCCCTTATCAAACCATCTCAAGTAAGCCTTATCCTAACTAAACTTAATAATATTTATCTATTAAAAACCAACTTAATTCTTTGCCTAATATTAAAACCAACCATATCCCCAAAACAACTCATGCACTACCCTCCACTAAACAACTCACACACTACGCTATTTACTAAAACAAAAATTAATGCATTAAAATAAAATAAAACAAGATTTTTATAACCCCAATTTTTATTTGCATCAAGTGCCCTAGTTCAGTGATTCCAAACCCAAGGTGCCTAATTCCCTTTGATGATTTTCTATGAGCTCAAAAATGATTGTTGTGGATATTTAAAATTTTTTTATAAATTTTTCAATCTGATAAAAGGGGCCTAAACAACAAATGCAAGAATGCCACACGTGGGGTCCAAGAGGTGAATGGACACTACATGAACAATTGGGGCCCACACGTGGGCCACTTGGTGTGCCACCATGTGGTGACATCATGATGACATGCGGCTAAGGATTCGCTTCTCATACTCGTGTTTATTGATTGCACCAATTTATTATATTAAGGGGGCAGCTCTTGGTCATTTGTACTTAAGGTCAAAGGGCATTTTGGATGTTGATTAAGGGCTGGACAAATGTCAGTTAAGGAACCATCCCATGTGTAAAGTGGTCTTATCCATTTGTTTTGTTTTGATTGATCACATGTATGAGTTGGTTAAAGCTAAAAGAGAGATGTCTTGGAATATCTATTCTCTCCTTTCATGAGAAAGGAGAGAGATAATCCCTATGGGTGGCATGCCCTCTTATTTTTCTCTCTGCCTTTTTCCAAATTACATTATATAATTAATGGAAATATGTTGGTATTTTATGGGCTCATGTGATATTAAACATAGTTTAATGCATAGTTTGGAATCAAAGGCAATTAGGGTTTGGAAATCTGGGGGATAAGATGTTAATCCCAACCTTGATTGATGATAGCTCATCAAGGGATGGGTAGCTTGGATGAAACCTCTCTCACCCTATAGATTTTCAAGATTAATTGCTGACATTGCTTCACCTTAAGATGAAGCCTCTAGGCAGATCTTTTAAGTTCACCTATATAAACAGCCATAATTTTTTGGAAACTTTTATTACGTTCGAGGAGGGAAAAAACTGTACCAAGTGATGGGAAAGTTTCACCACCCAAACTATTCAATCTAATATATTGATATTCGGGAATAAGACCCTTTAAAAAAGTTCAAATATCTTATTTTGTTCCAACCTTTCTCTAGGCTCCTTTGCACAATGGGAGCAGTTTATGGGTTATAGTGATTCAGCTCATCTCAAAAACCCCATAAAGCAATATAATTTTCACCAAATGATAAATCTCTTTGTTTAAATTTGTCTATTTATTGCTCCATCTCATAGATTTTGCTATGTAGGCTTCAACCACTACATCTCATAACACCTTTGAAGTATTACAATTCATAACTGTGCAACTCAAGTTTAGTTGTAGAAAGCTTAAAATTCAGTTCATGATAATCATTTCATCTGCCTAGTAGGCATAAGAAAGCTCCTTTACATTTCGTTTCACTATACAAGCATTAATATAACCCAGCATTTTTAACCCTCCAGGGGATAACTTAACAGATCTAGCCGATTCCAGATTGTTAGTACCTTCAACATTTGACCGTAGCGATTCGGAGATCAGAGCATCTGTACTTGATGTTTGCTGTGGCATTGTTACTTTTTCAAGGCAAAAAACAAATCACAATGCTGATGAATCGGAAATACCCCCAGATTTCTATTTGAACACTATTTATAAACACCAAAAGCACCATACAATGCATTGACTAGTTGATTATAAGTTGTGGTTGCAAATTTCAGATGTGACATGGTTGTAGAGCTATTCGATACACATGGCCAATGTTTCTTCTCACCATGATCTTAAAAAAAAGCTCTGTTAGGGTTTATTGCCAAACATTCTTTCATTGTCTAGCCATACTGTTGAAACCAGCAGTTACATGGCCGATGTTTCAGCACTTGACTCTCACTTCTTCTAATCTAGAACTTGTTCTAATACCAAGTTGAAAAATACAATCTAGATCTACGTTAATTAGATAGTATTAATGGAGGAAAGGGAGTGAAGGGAAGAAAGAAAGAGAGGTGCATGAGAGGGATATAGTTATTTACCCAAAAAAAAGAGATAGATACACATAGTATGAAGAGAAGAGAAGTGAATGAAGAGACCTGTTCTTGGGATTAGTCATATGTTTATATTACTACTTCTATGGAAAATTATAATAAAATAACCTTGTGTAAGTTTATAATTCACACATAACCTATAGAATCAATCGTTTCATTTATGCCCGTATTTATTACTGTACTTTCAACATATATAGGACATTCGATTTTGTATAATTTAATCTTTTTGATCTATTTGATACATATTGAATCAATTTTAGAGCCATATTGGATCCGTTTTAGAGCTTATTGCTGAATGATATGTCAGAATTAGACCCCTTATGTGTTTCAAACGGGATTTGGTGTTTGAATGATATCTAAATTGTTCAATTTAGTTTGTCTTGACCATTTTTGTCAGTTTGATCCTTTTTGGATTGTTTTGCAAGCATTTGGATTTGAGAAATATTGGATTGAAGTCCTTTTCTCATTTTGACCGTGATTAGGGGTTTTGCAGCCTAGTTTTGGCCTTGGTTAGTGACTCTATGTCCTATTGGACTTATAAAATTTGTTATAGAAACTATAATTTTGATCTATTTAGATCAAATATAGGCTTGTTTAAGGGTTTTGGATGTGCAATTGTTGTTTTAGGTCCATTTCCACATTTTTAATGTGGTAAGGCTCTTTTGAGCCCCTTTTTTTTTTTTGAACTTTATATTGATTAAAACACCACCCAAACATATCAATGCCAAAAAACAATAAAAATGAGTATAAAGTAGATGGATAAAGTAAATCAAATGCATTTGAAGGCCACAATTTCCAATAGAACAACATTAAGACCCAAAGAATTAGTGGTTCAACTACTCATAGAACCTCATAGTTGTATTGGGTGCCTCTATGCAATCATCTACTCATCGAACCATCTGTGCCATTAAATTGTAACATGTGCTAATAATATTAGTGTTTGATACATGTATAATTTTCATAAATCCTAATTTTTCTTGTCACCTTAACTGCCTAACTTATAGTTTGCATTATCATAGAAGAAGAAAATGGTTAAGTATAGACACATTTGGTATTGAAGAAGCATAGAATCTTCATGACTATTGTAGATACAGGCTTCAATTTATGATTCAGAAACCATTTTTTTGGGAGGAAGTGAGTTTTTTCTTTGCTTTATGTTTCGCAGGTATATGGGCCAAGTTTGGCAAGGTTTGTTGATGCTGGTGGTTTAGCACGAAATACTCCTCAAGATGCTTCAAAAGGTTCTTCATCTCTTTGCATGCATAATTAGTTCTCTTTCTATAACTAAATAGCTGATAATTTTATTTTTAATTAAAATACTAATAGTGACTTGTATTGGTAATTTGGTATTACATCAATTTTTAGATTGCTTAACGCTAATGTAACTTCATTACTACTTTTTGTTTTCTTGAAGAATATGTGGTGATATGTAAAGTAGTAAATTATGTTTTACAAAAATCCACGTGATGTGGTGACGCAATTTTATTATTTGCTATTAAATTGAAGCTTTCCTCTTTTTTCCTGTCTTATTTATTTATACAATAATTTCTTGGTAGTACCATGTAATTAACATTGTTATATGAGTTCTTTGGGCTAATTGTGCATAAAAAACAATACTCTAGTCATTTTTTTATTTGAAAGTTATGTAACACATTCCCCCCCGTCTTCTACGACACCTTTCCTCTTCCCATCCTCTCTCTCTCTTTGCCTCTTAACTCTCTGCTTTCCCCCCTAGTTTGTAAAAGAAAAGGAAAAAAAAGGAGAAAAAAGACAAAAAAAAAGATGAAGAATAATTGCAATAAAAGGAAGGAAAAAAACAGAGAAAGAAAAAGAGAAAAAAAAAGAGAGAAGGAAAAAGAGAAAAAAAGGGCCCTAAGCATTTCTTCATCTCCCCGCACATTACTCTATCTCTCCCTCACTCTCCCTTATCTCGGGTTTCTTGTTTATATTTTTCTCTTCTCCACCACTTATTTTGTTCTCTTTCTCTTCTCTTTCACTATTCTCCCAGCCCCATGCTTCACTGTCACATCTTTTCTTTTTGCACCTTTCCTTATCCTGTCACAGATCTTTTCTCAATCCCCCTTGAAACCCCCACTCTACCCCTTCCCCTCCTCTACCTCTCCTTAAATTTCCCTTCTCTTTTTGCCCCATCTCCTAGATACCGACCTTCGCTAATTCTTCGCTCTTTTTCCCTCCTCCATTAGTCTTCCTACAACTAGTAGCTAGTCTCCAAGGGATTTTTCTTGCTCAGAAGGTCAAACAAGATTTCATGCTCAACCTTATCCTGGAGCTTCATGGTCGCTACCTCGACTATGGATTTCAAATAACAAGATAGGATCACATCACCCTCTTTTTGCCTCGGGCACAACCTTTTTTCAGGACTCTCCCCACCTCTTTTAGTTTTAAGCTCTGCACCTATGTTTACGTTTCTCAAACCCATTTTGGCTCTCTTTTAATCTCAATTTCTTTTGTTCTTTTTGAGTTTATTCTCTCACCCTCTCACCCTTGTACTCTGAGCACCAATTTTGTGGGCTGCCATTTTTACCACACTTTGTGGATTTGTACATTTTCTCTCTATTTAACAAGTTAACCAGCTTCAAACCAAAAAAAAAAAAAGATCTGTAACACATAAAAGGTGATGCACAAAGTGCCTCAAGTGGGGCTATGGGCATCTTCTCTGGAAGCAACATATTCCTCCTAATTCTCGCTCATATTTGGAGGATGTAAATCCTAGGTGGGCTACCAAGAAGAACATGCATTGTTTGGGATGATTTTCTTGTTATTTTAAGGTTATTTTCATTCATTTTTAATTGTTTGAGTAATTAGAAGTTTTTAGGCATTTTATTTGTAGCTAGTGTCATTTATTTTAGGATTTACTTAATTGAGGACATATATGGGTGAATTAATAATTCATATGGACATTTATTGTCATTGGAACATTCAGCAGTTGACGCAACATTTCTTGAGTGTCAATCATGGGCAAGATAGTGATCTTCTTTTCGTAAGATGATCTCGAGTACAACCCTTTTAACCTGAGTGTTCCACGTGTGAAGTTGGGTGATGCGGATAGTGATAGAAGGCCTAGACATGGGGTGCATCACCCTAGGGATGTTGATTTAAAGGTGGATATATCTGATTTTGATGATAAGCCTCCACTAGAGGAGTTTATAGATTGGTTAAAATGTTGTAGAAAGGGTTTTCAATTATAAGGAGGTTCCCGAAAATGGAAAAACCAAAATTAATCTTGGAGAAGATGAAAAGAAATGAAGGAAAAAATACCAACATGAAGATTATCTGTAATCCCTTTATCTTAAGATTAATGATCTTTGACAGGGTAAAAGTAGTGTAGAGGATTATACCAATGAACTTTGTCTATTGATGACTCGTAGTGACGTGGAAATCTATTCAAGATGTGGTGCTTTTACAACGTTATTGGACCTTAGATGAAACTTACAACCTAGCATTTAAGGTCAAGGCTCAATATGAGGCGTCCATCATCAAAGTGTGGCATAGCCCAAGATAGTACAAGTGGCCATGGAAGCGAATTCAAGGAGAATAAGCTGGTATTTGGTTAGCTCGACAGTCCTCACGACCTGCTGGCCGGTCCAAACAGCAAGACATAATGGGTGTTGGGGCCAATTGTACTTGCGCAAATTTGTCCAAATTACATCTTAAGTGATTTAAGTGTTTGGGAATCGGACACGTCTCTTGTCAATGCTCAGTGAGAAAACTATTTAACCTTGTTGAGGAGTTTCTTGAAGAGGACAACAAGCCATCTTTTTATGGATCCCAGTATATAAAGAGGAACCTGAGGAAGAGGACCATGAAGTGACATTTTGTGACCATGCGGAGGCCCCTAAGTACAATATGAGAGCATGAGCACCTTTTAGGTCTATGTGATAGGGCACCCTCTACCTAGGCCTTACTACCTTGGGCATACTCTTATGTCTTACCTTAGGCGTGACACCCCTTAACCCTAGGCCAGAGAGAGATGGGAAGGGAGTGAAAGAGGGAGAAGAGAGAGGAACCCTACGAGAGAGAGAGAGAGAGAGAGAGAGAGAGAGAGAGAGAGAGAGAGAGAGAGAGAG